TATATATATGTGTGTGTGTGTGTGTGTGTGTCTGTGTGTGTGTGTGTAATCGAGTTAATATATAATAAGTTATTCATCAAACAATATTTGTATACCTATTACAGAATTTGAAAATGCTAAACAGATTTTATTATAAAATTCTTATCATTTATAATTTAAATTTTGAAATAATACCAGATAAAGAAACCACACTAGAGTTAAATATATTCGTACAAAAAGTGATTTTTTTGGTACATCAAACCTATATATAACTAATATAGTACACCATAGAACCATCAATATATATATCAGAACTTGTTGATTTAGTGCAAATACAAAGGAAGATAACCTAATGCTTTGAAACGTCATTGAATTTCTAATAACATCTATCGTCCAACTGGTACCAAGAAATACAGCCAAAATAACTGCGGTGAAAGATCCAAGTATAACTGGTAGATCCATTTCTTTAAGATTTTGAAAGATACTTACATATGTTAAGAACAAATAAAAAAGAAACACAAAAAAAAGGAGTGAGAACATTTATCAAATAAAATTAATTAATTAAGAATATATATAAATATTTGCATATCATTATTAATCACAAATTTAAATTTTTTACTCCATAGAGGGATTTGAATTGTTTTTGTAGTGATTAGTCAGGATAAATGAGCTTAATCATGGTATCAAATAATACAAGGATATTTCACCTTAAGCATTTATTCATTTAAATCTCCAAGATTAAACCTCTAACTACAAATTAATAATTTATTAAAAATTAAAATTTACATTTATTACTATTTAAAGATATAAATATATATATATAATCAATTAAATAATAGTAACTAGATAATAAAGCTAGAAATATATTTAAACCAAATAGATGATAATTAAGATTAATAGAAATTAATTAAAAAATGAATTATAGACACCTCATTAATTAATTAAAGTTAAAATTAATACATTGAACAAGTATGATGAGGTTAGTATAACCTCACCAAATAAATATAAATAAGAATGACTTAAAGTAGACAACTAAAATAATGTAAAAGTTTAAAAGAGATAAAATTCTCTTCCAACAACCTTATTAGAAAAGTGAAACCGAGTAAAGAAATTTTCTCCCATTTTTTCTCTTATTCATTCATTCTTTCCCATAATCTAATGGTCCCCCACCCATACTTATTTATAGGCAATTTTGTAATAATTATCGTTAGTTGAATTCTAATGAGATCTGTTTTAGTTACTTCATATTTACACGAGCTAGTTACTCTGCATTAAATACTTTGGATAAACATTATCTTATTCTTCTAAAACAATTTTGTAGCATAAATAGAAATTTATTATTATTATTATTATTATTATTGGTTTATATTTTAATAGTTATATATATGTTCTTATTTATTGATATATTTATAAAATAATATTAATACTTCATAATGATTAATCATTATTGATGTTCATTTATTTATTTATATATATTTTTACAAATAAAAATTTAAAATTATTAAAATAATATGATTAGATATTATTTAGATCCCTTTAATCTACTAAAATGTTATATAAAAATAAATTGAGAATATTTAAATTATCTAATAATATAATTAAACATTATATTGGAAATTTAGACTATTACAATATTTATTATGATAAAATAATTTTTTAAGGAAAAGTTTTTCAAAATTTATAATATTACAATATACATTAGTAATGAATTACATTAAAAAAATATTTACGTGTTTTCTGTACAAATTTTTATTATTAATATTTCATCATGTTTTATCGTTAATTTTGCATAAAGTTTTCTTATATTTCTAATTTTTTAAATTTAATTTTTATTTAAATTTTAAATCAAATAATATTAGTAATTAATAAATTTATATAATTAGTAATTAGTAATTAAACATTAATGTTAACCCCAAGCGTGTGGTTCAGCGGTAGGGGTTGATCCACGCTTAAGCAAGGTCAGGGGTTCGAATCCTGCCGGCGGTCCGAAAAAAAAAATATTAATAAATGCAGTGACTAATCTCCTCACTACGTTGGAGGCACCTCAAAGGGTGGGATATCTGGCCCCAAGATTTAACGCGGCTGCATACACAAGGCAGGATTCGAACCCCTGACCTTGCTTAAGCGTGGATCAACCCCTACCGCTGAACCACACGCTTGGGGTTATTTATTAATATTTAATTACATTAAAAATATTAAATATTTTTTTTATCTAATTCTTTAGTTATTTACTTTTTAGAATAAAATATTTATTTTTATATATTTTAACGGGAAGTTATGGAGAGAGAAAAAAAAAATTTGAAAAAAACTTTGTTTTACATATTTTAAAAATGATATCGAATATAGTAAATATATTAATTTGTTGTATAAATTTATAATAATTTACATGTTAAAAATAGTAAATATAGTATTTTGTAATATAAATTCATAATAATTTACATATAAATATTTTTTTTTACACTTTTGAAATCATATGTATTTTTAAAATAGATGTATAAAAATATAAATATTTTGGGGGATGATTTAATTAACATAAAATTCTAAAGGTAGTTTTTGAGAAAATATTTAAGGGAAGAAGTTGTTTAGTTTTAAGAAGGAAAAAATTGTTCTCTTTATATTAGAGGGAAGTTTTGAAGGAAAACAATTGCTATAACTTATTCGGGAAGTTTTGAAGGAAAACAATTGCTATAACTTATTCCCTTTATATGTACCATAGATTTGTCATATATTAAATTTATCTTTTATCTTTTAAAACAAGATTAAAATATTTTTTTAATTTTTATATTTATCTTTTGCAATCTTTTTTAGTCTTTT